GCCCACACGCTGGTCTCAATCGGGCGACTGTCACTATCTATTTTCCGCCCTGTTCCCTGGCGCCGTAAGGCAAGTGCCCATGTTGCCTTGCGCTAGCGCCGGCCCTGCTGAAGCGCACAGTGCGCAGAAGTCGCCAACTGTCTGCAGAGTAAATAGCTACAGACCTCCAAACTTGGTGAGGCCTTCAGATTGGCCCAACAACAGTGCATAGAGAGCTTCATGGAATGGGTTTCCGTGGCCGAGCAGCTGCATCCAAGCCTTACATCACCAAGTGCAATGCAAAGCGTGGGATGCCGTGGTGTAAAGCACGCCGCCACTGGACTCTAGAGAAGTGGAGACGTGTTCTCTGGAGTGACCAATCACGCTTCTCTGTCTGGCAATCCGATGGACGTGTCTGGGTTTGGCGGTTGCCAGGAGAACGGTACTTGCCTGACTGCATTGTGCCAAGTGTAAAGTTTGGTGCAGGGGGGATAATGGTGTGGGGTTGTTTTTCAGGGGTTGGGCTTGGCCCCTTAGTTCCAGTGAAGGGAACTCTTAAGGCATCAGCATACCAAGACATTTTGGACAATTTCATGCTCCCAACTTTGTTGGAACAGTTTGGGGACGGCCCCTTCCTGTTCCAACATGACTGCGCACCAGTGCACAAAGCAAGGTCCATAAAGACATGGATGGGGCAGTTTGGGGTGGAGGGACTTGACTGGCCTGCACAGAGTCCTGACCTCAACCCGATAGAACACCTTTGGGTTGAATTAGAGCGGAGACTGCGAGCCCGGCCTTCTCCTCCAACATCAGTACCTGACCTCACAAATGGTCCAACATTCCCATAGACACACTCCTCAACCTTGTGGACGCCTTCCCAGAAGAGTTGAAGCTGTTACAGCGGCAAAGGGCGGGCCAACCCAATATTGAACCCTACGGACTAAGACTGGGCTGTCATTAGAGTTCATGTGCGACATTGTGCGTGTAAAGGCCGGCGTCCCAATACTTTTGGCAATATAGTGTATATATCACACAGCTTCATTCTGTCCACTGTGCTGTACATTATATATCTCACACAGCTTCACTTCGCTGTTTCAGATTGTACACTGTGCTATACATTATATATATGTATTTCACACTTCCACTCTGCACACACTATGCAATACATGATATACAGTATCTCACACAGCTGCACACTGTGCTATACATGATTTCTTTCACACTTCCACACTCCGTGACAGTTGTCACCATACAAGTATCCCCACAGGAAGATTCCCACCTCTATTCCTGTTGTGGTGTAAAGTTTTGGGTTTTCCCCAACTTTTGGACTTTCATCAGTAGTCAATGGGGCCAATAGAGAGGGCGAATCTCCCCAGCAGGGACAAAGACA